TTGGAAGCTTTGTCTTTACTTGAGTTACTCTTATCCATGCCAACCTAGAAACTCTCAACCCAAACTATGATTAACTTGTGTCCTCCCAGGAAGCTGGTGTGATTAACTTCACAGAATTCTAATAGCTTCTTTACTCTGTATATTTACATACACAGTTTGATGTCATTTTACAGTGCTTTTCAAATCATGATCTAGTCATTTTTTTTAAAGAAAATATTAAAACCTTCTGTTTTATCTTTGTCATCTATTCAAACCAGTTCCTGGATATAGAAAACATTATAAAAATGGTAAGTTAACTATGTCATCTGTATTATGAATGAGCATAAGATAATTTAGATCACTGATTAAAATAATAAAAGTCAATCTTAGGCCTCTATATTATATCTTATATCAGACTGAAACTGACTTACTGTCTACCACTTTATAACTGACATTCTACACTTTCCCAGGATAGTGAGAAATGTATTTTGCAATAAAGCAAAATATTTAAAAATCAGGATAGATTATATTCATTGTTCCCCCCTCAACTGACTAGGCTTTTCAACTTGTTGGTTAAGAAGATTCGATCAGTCTAACAGTGTTTAGTCTGTATCAAGCTATGATGATTGTTAGCCAATATTCAATTCTCTTCAAGGTATTCAAGGGATATATTCATGTGATGATTAGGGGTGAGGGTTACAATTTTCTTAGGTTAATCTACTTCTCATTTCTTTATTACATAAGTATATTTTTCCATTATAAAATTACTACATAAATATAAGCTTACAGTTAAAAATAAAAATAAATCCAAGTAATGCTAAAGTACACAAAACAAAAAATATTCTTCAACTTTCTAGCATTCCACATAGATATTTTCTATAAAAAAAAAAGATATAATTTGGTACATATTGTCCAGACCTTTTCTCATTGTATTTCATACAATTTCTATTTCATAAATATATGTGCATGTAACATAAAGTTTGTATTATATATGCAAATTTATATATTTAAATACATATTTAAGAAATTTTTTAAAGAATTCTTAACATTTGTATGTTATCTGTATGTGTTTTTATATATATATAAATGGGATCATACTGTGCATATTATTTTGTCTTCTTTTCAAGTTAGCTTGTCTTAGAGATCTTTCCATGTTTTTAGCCTGCAAATCTAAATTTTGCATGATGGTTGTCAATTCCCATCTTCAGATACTATAGGTAGTATGTCTTAATTTTCTATCTTTGTAACATTCCAAAGTAAACAGAGCACTTCTTTCAGTGACTAAGAAAATGAATAATATAAATTTTTCCATTGTAATGTTTCTTCTTAATTAAAATGAAAAGCATTTTAGCAAGTATTCATTCAATTTACAATGATTTTTCAAATCTCTTAAATGTTTAAACCCCCTATGAACTCATATTCTAATAAAAATATATTATAGTAGTATATATAAAGAATGCATATATTTAGTAAATCAAGGTCTAAAATTAATAAAAACTAAACTTATTTTTTATAAAAGGAAAAGCAATATAATAGAGCAAATTTCTCTACTAATTAGAAAAATTTTAAAAATATGCGCACTATTCATTTTCTGAGTCACTGAGGTAAATTGTGCAAGAGAAGCTGATGAGGAAAATCAAGAGAAGCCGAGGAAGAAATATTTTTAAAGAATTCTTAACATCTGTAAAAAGAAAAATAAAATTTTAAAACAGTTTACCCACATATTAGAATACAGAAACCACAGACAACAGGAGCAACAGTTAGAAAAGCAAGATTAAATTAAAATCTATATTATGTGGGTCTCTCTATATATAAAAACACTGGAGTAATGTGACTATCACTTTTGTTTTCTAACAGGCAACATTCTGGTATGTTCTTCAAACTAGAAACAGAAGTCATATCAGGTGGATAGCAAACTAACATCTACTATAGAATTGAATAATCCTAAAAATACTAAACTGGGACCATTTAAATAAGATATGCAATAATATAAGCTGTTAGGTTTTATTATCCAAAGTTAGGAAATGCTGTACTATTTCTAATAGAAGATAAGTTTCATTTTTAGACTTCCATGAAAGAATTAAATGTCAATACCTCCTAAATGGGAAAAAAAAAAGTATTCATAAAGAGTGGCACGATATGGAAAGCCAGCATTACTGGTGATATTTGTAGCTAGTATGGGTCTTCTGATATCTAGTGAACTGAACACTGTAGCTTTAATTGAAGTTTCAATGTTATAAACAGTTAGATGTCTGGCTCTGGCCAGCATTCTAATACCATCAGCAGAACAGAGATGGGAAGCATAAACAAACCTTTTAACTAGATTACAGTCTCTAAAATGGCCAAGAAACCCTTCAGCATAAACTCCTGTGTGACAAATGTCTAAGGAAAGTGATTTTGGAATAATGGTAAAAAAAAGAACAACAAAAAACAGGCTCTAAATTTCTGTCATTACTGGAATTTGTATTTGACTTTTAAATATTTTGATATTGCTTAATATGCATTAATGATAAACTTTATATTTAATTTTCCAACTAAACCCTTTTTTCTCTCACATAGCAGCTGCTTTTTAGATCATTATATCCCAAGGAAGCTATTTAAAAATCAATACTTTTCTTCTGTTGAATCAGAATAATTCCTCCCCCCAGCATCAGCAAGTATATGTATATAAAGCCTATATTATTATATTTAGGTACTAGTAACATTAAGAATATATGTATTAAGTTAATTAATGCTCAACAGCTTCTGGATTTAAGTTGTATATAGAAAACAATAGCTTTGAACACAAGATTAAATCTAGATATAATTGAGCACTTGGTCAATCGTAAGAAACAACTTAGGTCTGCTTCTAACTTCTGATATATAGACATTAAGAAAAGAAAAGGCAGCACAAGAATATAAGTTATAACCCTAGCAACACACAGAAATTTTTCCTCTCAATGATGGAATCTTGGTTGGTTGGCAAAGAACTCAGTGAAACATGTATGTCCAAAGATTTTTTGCCCTTACAAGGTTGGCAACTAATTTATGTAACTCATTTTTGACCTTTAAAACAATATATCCTAACAAATTACTCAATGATATAGAATTTAATTACAAGTTCTCTAAGAAAAGGTTATATAGATCAGCTAAAATAAGGACTCAAATCAGAATTAGTCACATCCAACTCTGAATGAAGTATATGCTTTTCAACAGGTATGAGTATCATTAGTGATTTTCTTTTCCATTATGTCCAGCTATATTAGAAGATATACCTTAATATATGTTAAGCCTGGTTCTCACCTTGTTTCTCTGAAGAGTTATACTGAGTCTTTCTGATTTCTGAAACCTTACATAATACAGAATACTTCTAACAGAAATGCTGACGAATTAGAATCTTTACTTTTAACTGAAATTACCTTTAGATTATCTAAGGAAATTATTTGGGACCATAAACTTATTCTATCTCATCAATTACTCAGATTGTTCTTAAAAGCAAGAAACCATTTGTTATAAACTTTCTTTTCTGAAGGATAGTAGATGACACAGAATAGTTCCTTAGCATTTAAAAATAGTTCCAAACCCAATGGTTCCTAATGCATTGGCATCACACTTATAGGATAACAGAGTCAATGTTAAGTATGTAAGATAAACGTGTATTTATTTAGGATGGATATGAAAGTTACTTGATTAATAAAACAGAATTTTTAAAAAATTACTCTTTTCTCCTAAAAGCAAGATGTAAAAAATCAACTCTGGTCAACTGGGTCAAAAAGTATTTTAATGAAGTGCTGCTTTAAAGAAGTATATCATAATAATGACATTTTAAGAATCCAACAAATTGTCCATTCTAATACTAAAAAATATTTCAGACTTGAAGCAGTAGGCAAGAAGACACTAAACTTAATCCTATTAACTTTATTAATTATGAAAATATTGCAAGATAGAGGGTCCAGAAGGAACATGTATATACACCAAAGCACTAGGCAATATAAACTCTCCTTTGTTTAGGTTTTCCACTATCAACAGAGGTATATAAAAATTTTTACTGTAAATATTCTTTGGGTCACAAATTGTTGGATCCTCCAAACAATTTAGCATAGGAAAGTGCTAAATGTAATTCCATGCAAGATAAAGAAAGTTTAATATGTAGGAGGCCTAAGTGTCATTTTTGCCATACAAAGAGAAGGTAGAAACTCCTTATAAAGCATTGAGTTTTTTGTCCGTCTTTCTGTCCTTGAGAACTTTTAGAAATTTTCCATCACTCAGTCAATAAGCTACTGGGGCCATGATTTTACTAATGTTTCCCAGAATACTTAGTGACTGATAAAAAGTCTTTATTGTGACTTTGTTTTGGATTAGAAAATGTCATGAATATACTGTTACTTACTATTTTGCAGCTATTTAATAAAATGCTCAATGCTGTTTTGTCAGGAGTAGGTTTCCTTGTTTGTAACATGGGGACAATGCTACAAAGTTCACTAGGACTGGGATTGGTAAATTTATCACAGTACTAGACCCATATAATAAATGATAACTATGATTATTACTAAAATAGAAAATTAAGAATGAATGTGAAAGAGATCAGAATTGATTCTCAGAGTCTATTTACCTTCACAAGATACTGTATCAGCAGGGGATTCCTCCTTCTTTTATTTTTTTTAAAAATGTATTTTATTGATTTTTTACAGAGAGGGAGAGGGATAGAGAGTTAGGAACATCGATGAGAGAGAAACATCGACCAGCTGCCTCCTGCACACCCCCTACTGGGGATGTGGCTGCAACCAAGGTACATGCCCTTGACCGGAATTGAACCCGGGACTCTTCAGTCCCCAGGCCAACGCTCTATCCAGTGAGCCAAACTGGCTAGGGCTCCTCCTTCTTTTAAATTGTGAATCAGTATTATTCTAAAAGTTATACTTAAGAGGGCAAAGGAAATTCATGAAATCTTTTTCTCTCTAATATACTGTAAAATTACACATGAAAGCCATGACAGGAACCGAGACAGTATTCTTTGTTTTTGAAACATCCAATCAGCTAAGAAACTTTCAACTCATTTTATTAAAGTTACAGAAACAATATCACAAAACCAAGATTAAAAATTGCAACTAATTTAGAACAAGAACTGGGAAGTGTCTTATGAGGACCTTGGAGGAACATATCTAGTACCCATTAAAAATTCCAAAACTCCTAAATAGTGTATACTACAATTACTCCATGATAATTAAGTCATACTGTCAGCTTAAACTATGATAGAAAATAACTAAGTGCTCAAAATGATAACGTACAATGTCTTCCAAGTAACCATGAAAGATAAAGATAACCTGTTAATATGAGATATAAAAAGGAAAAAGTTACTTTTGAGAAAAAAAGTTCAAGTTGAAAAAGTTTGGTTTTTATCTTTTGTTAATAATTTACTAAGAGATACTTCAAGGAACAGTGCTGGTCATCTTCAAATTAAAGTATATAACAATAAAATACTAGCAATGGTAACCACATAAACTATTTTCATGATCTAAAATTAGTGAATTATATACAGAATAGAAATCCCCAGAATACAATATTAAGTGGAAAATTTTACTTTATATTTTTCTATTTTAATAAAATACAGCAATATCTTTCTTAAACATGCATTTTTCCACCTAACAGTATCCATTTAAGTTAATATAAAATGTACTTAGGTAGAAACATCAAAATAAAGATATGACCAATACACTTCTAGAATACAATTATGATATCTCTTCACATTAGCTGTAGGGACCATCCTTATTTCTCAGATGCCTAGCACAGTGCCTGACAGACAGTAGACACTCAAGTGATGTTTAATGAATAATAGCTAAGTACAATGTGTTTTGCACATACATTCAAAATCCAGACAAGTTTGCAAAGGTACATAGGTTGGATATAGGTTTTCTGGCTGACTTCATTGGGTCCCACTGATGACTAGCAGTAAATCTTCATATCCATAGAAAACTGGAAAGTTGATAATTGTCTGGGTAAGGACCAAAAAAACAAAGTCAGGGAAACATGTCACCTAAGTAACAGTTGTTTTTAAAGAGCTGGTAAAAGCCACCTAATCACTCTGACACCTACTATACCAGTCACTCAGTGAAATGAAACTTAAGTGTATCCTCAACATTTGCTAGTATGTTTTTCATTGGAATTTTTTTATCATCCCTTATTTAAAATAAATCACTTTTGTCAAATTGTGTCCTGTAAAAGAATTAGGGGGATATGTTTTTACTTATTATGAGTACTATTATTGTTAATAGGATTTAACTTGGCCATTGGAATAAAGTGAGAGCCACAGTAAAGATTACAAAAAAAAAAAAAATCATGGTGCTGAAGAAATTGTAGCAAGGAGGAAAGGATAAAGGAGAAAGGGAAGGAATCCCACATATGGAATAAAGAGATTCAAATATGCCTAACGCTAATATCAATTATGACAAACAACCAGTAGGGCCTATGGTGCACCAGACACCATGCTATAAGGGATATAAATGCTAACAAGTCAAAAATCTGTAGTTCTAAGTAATTCATAGACCAAGACTCACAAATATTTATAATACAATATGCATTCTTCTTATATATATATGGGTCTTTTAGAGTAAGAATGATATTTACTGATTAATTGGAAGTGCAGGGGGAAAATAAGCACTAGGGGAAGCTGAAAATAATTCCCAAAATAGTAATAATCCACCTATTTAAAAAAATCAACAAATTATAAATGGACAAAATTATGACTTTATGACTTTAAAGCTATTTACCTTAATATTCTTAGAAGAATATGCCTCCATATAAAACCCTTAAGTGCTATACACAGAATTGTGATTATAGTCTCATTTCTTTATTTAAATTTTATTTGTTGATTTTGAGAGAGAGGAAGGGAGTTTAGAAAGATAGAGAAAAAACACACATATCGATTTTGTTGTTCCACTTATTTATGCACTCTTTGGTTGACGATTGTATGTGCCCTCACCAGGGATCCAACCCACAATCTTGCAGTATTGGGATGACACTCTAACCGACTGAACTACTAGAAAATGAAGTAGCACATCAGTGTGAATGTCAAGGGACCTGGGTTCTCTGGTCCATGCCCCGCCCACTTAAAGGTCTTGGAACCCTGAGCAAGTTCCTCAAGCTCTTGAACTTCAGCAATATGGAAAATGAAAAGCTGGATAAACTGACCTCCAAAATATCACCTTGCTGAAAATTACAATCCTAAATTATATCTTAATACTTAAAAAAATAAGCCATAATAAAAAAAATAAAAGGTTTTCTAATTGTAAATAATTATCCAACCCAGAGGAAGTCTGGAATCTTCAAAACACATAGGGGAACCCTGGGGGTGGTAGAATAAGGAATGTTTTCAAAGGAAAGCAGAAACAAAATAAGTAAAGGTATTATGCTGAAGACTGTACATTTTTCACTCAGCTGGGCAACTACCACCCTAATTATCCACATAATTCGCTTTACTTAAAATTGATTTATTCACTAAGTTCTACTTTCTATCTCTTATGTTAAGGCTACTAAGGTATTAAAGGGAGAACAAGAAAACCGAGGTGGATCTGGGATAGTATTGATGTTGAAAGAAAAACTTGAACTTGGCACAGATTTCTGCTTAAGAGCAGGATTTACACCTCAGAGAAAGGTAAGAAACTGTTCAAATTTATAACAGAAAGGAGAGAAATAAGACCATATTGTTTACTGCTGCACAGCTTTTTTTTCCCCTGTGTGTAAATGCCTGCTTTGCACACAGTTGATAAAATTTACAGAACCAATTTCTACATATGCAATGCTTTTCTGTCACTAAAACATAAGAGCATTATGTTTTGGCTTTAACATCAAGATAATAAAAAATTAAAAGTATTATCATGTCTTTAAAATATTTATGTCAAACATCCTTCTAGATTTTTTTCTTCAATCCTTTCTAATTGATCAAATTGCTATTTTCATATTGCCAGTCTGATCACAAAATTGCTGCTTTACAGAAAAATATTTTTTGCTGACATAAATTATGGGATCAGAGATACCAATACAGTAACAAAAAAGGGTGTGAGAGAGAGACAGATAGAGAGAGAGAGAGAGAGAGAGAGAGAGAGAATATGTGTTGCATCCATCTTCAAGGAAAGCATAAAGAAATGTATGTATGAAACAAAATACCATTCTCCAATGTAAGACCTAATAAAAGGCCTACATCATAAACATACTTTCTAGCATTTGTGAAATAAAATGCAGCACTGATTTTGAAAGCCATTCATAAGAACATACCATGTAAAAACGTAAGAATAGTGATTTCTATCAAGATTGTTACTCTGTAAGCCTAAATCTAGTTTCATCTTTCGATTTATATCTAAGTACAATGAATATACTAACTACAACTTCATGATTTCTTTTGAGTCATGAATACATATTTTAGAAATCTGCCTCCCTTCAGATATAGTGAGCATTTTGGTCCAGTACCCCAAGAGGGGAAAAACTCGTCTCAATTTACAACAGTAAATAAATAATTCAGTTAAAACTGAAAGTGGTACCAATCCAGCAAACTATTGATGGAGAGGTTTGGCCTTCCATGAAGCCAGAACAACATAAAGTTTTCAATGGGGATTACTTGTTCATACAAGTTACAACGACTGAAAAGAATACCCAGATTAATTATGAAATAGCTTACATTCTCATCTTATGTGGGGAAAGACCAGACCAGTGGTATTTAAACTTTAAGCATTTTAAGCTTTGAACTTTATATGCTGATACATGAAACAAACATTTAACCCCCCAAAAAAGCAATAATACAAGTCAAAACCTAACCAAAGGCCTCTATCAACTAAAAATCTGAAATTTTCTCTGCATGTCGGACAAAACGAAAAAGGGAAAAAAACGTAACCCAGAAAGCAAAAACCAAACAAGTCTGCTCCAACACTGAAGTCCAGACCCAAATCACCTACAGAACCACGCAGGGGAAAACACTCAAGTCCACTCATGGACCAGCAGTTCCAACACAATCCAGACCCCGACATTTTCCCACTCGGAAACAAATGCAGCGGGGCTTCTCCCGGGGACGCAGGAGCACAGCCCTCCACACGAATCCTGCAAAGTGACACCCAGAAAGTGTGCCTCTTTCTGCCCCTTTCCCTGGCGCCTCCCCGGGAGAAGGAGGGGGTTGTTTTTGTATTCTCCCCCACTGGAGCAAGACACAATCGGATGTGAGCTGGAGGAGAGAAACCACTTTTGACAACAGCAAATATTCACAAAAGTGCCCTTCCTCCTCTGACAGGATGGGCACCCTCCTCGCACACCCCTCCCCACTCCGACCCCTCCTACACCGCCCCCCCCCCCAGCACCACCCCCTCCTCACCCCGGAGCTACACTGCGTACACGGTTTGGTGCTACTGTTGCCCCGGAGTTAAAGTCGGAGCCAGAGGAAGGCAATAAAGCCCCCACAGACACACTTACCTTTCCTGCCCCCCACTTTTGAGTGCCTTCCCGGGAGCTGTGGAGGATGACACAAAGGGTAATAAAGGGGGGAGTGGAGGAGGAGGAGGAGGCGGCGGCGGAGGAGGAGAGCTGGGGAAGTGGCTGCTCCTGGGTGTAGTGAGATGTCTCCAGCCAGGGCCAAGCAGCAGCAGTAGCAGCAGCAGCAGCAGCAGCAACAGCAGCAGAGCAGGGTCTGTGTTGCTAAGAGGCTTTTGGTCTCTTTCTCTCCTCTCTCGCGGCCAAAGAGGAGGGTGGAGGGGGCTCGGGAGGGAGGCTACTGGAGGGGTGAAGGGGTAGGAGTCGTAGATGGGGGTTTTCGAAGAAGAAGAAACTCCTTCTCCTTCTCTCTCTGGCTCAATCCCCCTCTCAGGTCTCAGGGCTGGAGGGTGGGGGAAGGAACTCAGCCGCCTTCCCCCCACCCCCCCCTCAATTCAAGGTTGAAGTGGGGTAAAATTAGTGTCCTGTCCCTTTAAAAATAGAAATAAAAGGTGCCCCCCCTCTGCCACTGCCTCTCTCTTCATCATCAGCTGCTGCTGCTGCTGGGGTCTCTCTGCTTTGGGGGGGAGGGGGGGGATCGGGTAGAAGAGACGGGAGGCACTCACTGCGCATGTCCCTCACTGATGGGAGGCTGGTTGGTTGAAGGCAGGAGGAGGGGGAGGGGAGGAAATGAGACGGCTTCCCAGAAGGCTATGAGGCTCTGGCGACCCGGAAGACATTGTAGCAGGGGGTAGAGGGGCGGGGGCGAGGAGTAGGAGGAAGTCGCTACTCAGTAACACCCTCCGCCCCCTCCTCCCTCCTAAGGCAAAGTGGAGGAACGGAAGTGGGCGTGGCGGAGGCCAAAGGAGGTCACGTGTTGGGGCGGGAGGTGGGCGGGGTGGGAGAGGCGCGTGCGCGCGGCATGCCGGGAGTAGCGGTGTCTCCTTAGCAGCACCTGGTGAAGCTGGTCCGATCCAGCTGTGAGGCGAGCCTGTGGAACGGTTCCCGCTGTGGCTACATCTCGGCTCTGCCCTAGTAAGGGCAGACTTTTCTGTGAGAGGTAACGTGGGGGAGGCTGGCCCCTAGTAGGGGCGCCAACGGTGAAAGGCGATGTAAACCGGGGGGAGGGCGAAAGGCTCTGGAGACTGGGAATGCGGGCGGGGGGCTGGCTTGTGTAGGCCGGGCAGGCCAGAAAGCAGGCGGCTCCTGGTCCCCTGGCCTCCCTGCCGACGGATCCCGGGTGGGCGCGGGGACTCCTAGTGAGGCCGGGTCGGTGGCGGGGTGGCGACGGCACTCGGTGGGGTGAGGTCCTGGTGTAAGGAGGGCAGCGGACTCGGAGCCTCTGCAGATGACTGGTGTCCGCTGCTTGAGCTTGGAGCAGGGAACCTGTGCGGGGACGGAAGCTCCCTGTGTGAATGACCACAACTTCTAGGGCCGGAAGCGATGACTTCGCCACCCGCCCTGGAATCCTGGAGGGGCTTGGAGGATGAGCAGGCTGGGAAGCCGTGGTGGAATTTCTCTCCGCGTTTTGCGTTGCTCCTGCAACAACGCCTGTGCCTGTTCTCAGGAAGGGGTGGTGGATGGTGTAGTCCTTGATATTGGGTATTGCTGTTGATAGAGAAGGGACATATCTCAGTTTTCACCTTCTGCGGTGTAGATGAGAGATTTTTAAATGGGTATCTTAAGGGTTTTTGTGGTGGTTGTTTTGTTACTAGCCTCGGATTTAGAGCCTTCTCAATTAAATGCTATCTATTTTTGCTGGAAATAATGTTTCCCTCATAAGATCAGAATTAATTCCAAAATGTTTAAGAAAGGATTCATGAATTTACATTAATAAAGCTTTTTTAAAAAAATATATTTTATTGATTTTTTTTACAGAGAGGAAGAGAGAGGGATAGAGTTAGAAACATCCATGAGAGAGAAACATCCATCAGCTGCCTCCTGCAACACCTCCTACTGGGGATGTGCCCGCAACCAAGGTACATGCCCTTGACCAGAATCGTACCCGGGACCTTTCAGTCCGCAGGCTGACGCTCTATCCACTGAGCCAAACCGGTTAGGGTTTAGTAAAGCTTTTTAAAATAAAACAGCACTGTTTCTTTTTCATACTCTCTTTATACAACTTAAATCATTTCAGTCTTTCAGTTGGCGTGTTTTGTAAAGGTACTTTGAAAGATTATCACCCATCTATGGTTTCTATTAAGATCAAGAATCTAAAGTTTCTCATACAGTGGGGCCTTGACTTACGAGTTTAATTCGTTCCGTGACGGAGCTCTTAACTCAAATTACTCGTATGTCAAATCAATTGTGAACGAGTGAGACGTGATGCTGGGCTGATGTTGTGGCCTTCGCGGTGATGTTCGCTGCGCCAACTAGCAGTGGGGTATCTGAAGCTGGCTCGTAACCCGAATTTTAGCTCGCAACGCAAAGCAAAAAATTGGCCGAGAGACGGCTTGTATCTCGAAAAACTCGTTAGTCGGGACACTCATAAGTCAAGGCCCCACTGTATTTATTTGTGTTGGTGTTACCTAATCTGTAATGGGTCCTTTGGGGTAAACTATCAATTAAAGGTACTACTATTTCTCTTCATTTTGTTTTAGCAGTGGACCCTATTTATGCATCATATCCTAGTGCTTGCTACTTTCTGTGTGTGCTGTAATCTTGTCAAATGAAATAAAAACTAGTCTTGTACCTTAAAATTTTTTATATAGTAAAACCAGACGTTTATCACTTTTAACAGAAAAATACCTTGCAAAGCAATTAAAGTGCCTTAGGTAACAATTTTGAAGTCTTTTTGTGTGGTAAAATATACAAAAAATGAACAAATTATAGATATGCAGTCTAATGAATGCAGTGAACACTCTGTAATCATTACCAAAGTCAAGAACTAGAACATTGTTGGCCCTGGAGACATGTTCCTACCCCCCATCTATTCCTGATCATTCCTCCCTCCTCACCACTCTCAGAGTTAACACTATTTGGATTTTATGGGAATTATGTCTTACTTTTATTTCAACTATTTTTTTAACTAGCTATGCCAGCATTCCTAAAATAATATAGGTCAGTTTTGCCTGTATTTACCTATATGTAAATGAGTTACATATTATGTACGAGGGGCCCAGTGCACGAATTTGTGCACCTTGAAAGGAACTGTGGTCCTTGAGGCTGCAGTGGGCACAGGGGTGGGTCTCAGCCCATCCTCTGCGCCCCCGCCCGGCCCCTTCTGCCATGGCTTTCGGTCCCCTGTCTGCCTACAGCCCTACTCCCACCGCTGCTGCTCCCACGTGCTGATGGTGCCGGCTCTGCTCGCACCCACTAACAGCACATGGAGTTATTGGGGCTGGCGCCAGCAGCAGGTGCAAGCAGGGCTGGTACTGTCAGCAGGTGTGAGTGGCAGCTGCTGCCCCGATCGCCCCTCAGGAGCAGGGGGAAGTGGAGAAGCCCTCAGGGACGATCGGGGGCCAACAGCTTCCGCTCTCACCCGCTGACAGCGCCTAGTGATCGGCACCAGCGCCAGGCGCCAGCAGTGGATGCGAGCGGGGCCAGCGCTGACAGCGGGTGCAAGAGGCAGCTACCAGCTCCAATTGCCTCTCAGGAGCAGGGGATGGTGGAGAAGCCCTGAGGGGCAATCAGGGCCAGCGCCAGCCATGGGTGCGAGTGGCGGCTCCGGCGCCAGCAGCGGGTGTGAGCGCCCTGTGGGACCTCAGTGTGCAGGAGCAAAGAATTTTCAGTAACCACCAGAGGCTTGCCCTGATGACAGCGATTGGCACCCCGCCTTGGTCTGGCACCCCCACTCACCGGCTCCACCATCTCGCTGCAGCTGATGCCTGCCATGTTCCACACTCTGACGCCTGCTGGCAACGCCCACCATGTTCCGCACATGCCCCCTGGTGGTCAGCGCACGTCATAGCGACCAGTTGTTCGGTTGTTCTGCCTTTTGGTCTATTTGCATATTAGGGTTTTATATATATAATGTTATTTTCTCTCATGTTATTAATATATAACCATGTTAGTACATTTAGCTTTAGTATGTATATTTTCATTGCTGTATAGTAATGTCTATAGTCTACAGTAAAAGTATACTGTAGTATTTTTTTTTAATCCTCACCAGAGGCTATTTTTTACATTGATTATTATTTTTTTAATTTTAAATTTTTTTTTTTTTTTTTTTTAGAGCTAGGGGAAGGGTGGAAGGAAGGGAGAGAGGGGAAGAAGAGAGACAGACAGACAGACAGATATAGGTTGTCTCCCCCCAGCACGTGCCCTGACCAGGCTGGATGGAACCTGAAACCCTGCTCTAACCACTTTGCAACATGGGTCAGAACTAGTGTGGTCTTTTTATGAATAAGCCACAATTAACTAATCTAATATTAATGGACATTTGGATTGTGTCTAGTTTTTAACAATTATGGGCAGTGCTATTATGGATTTTTTAAATGTATTTTTATGCATATAGTGTACAATTTTGTGTATGCCCAATTTTTCCAAAGTGATATATCAATTTATTCTCCCACCAGCAGTATACAATTGATACTTTTTCTCGACCGTCCTGCCAGCAGTTGGTATTTTTTGATTTTTGCCAAACTGATGGATGTAGCTTTACATTATTGCTTTAATTTGCAGTTCCCTGGTTATTAATGAGGCTAAACATTTTTTTTTTCAAAAATATAAATTGGTTACGTGAATAGTCTTTAAGTATTTTGCACAGATTATTTATTAGGTTAAAAGCAATTTACCAACCGAATTATTATGTTCTGTGAATGTCAAATAAACCCCAGATTTCTAATACTAAGTATAAAAACAGAGTAAATTCAGTTTCTTAATATATTACATGTTGAAATTTTAATAAGTTAATTTCACCTTTTTTTAGTTTTTGAACTAGAGGCCCGGTACATGAAAATTCATGCACTGGAGGGGGGACCCTCAGCCCATCCTGCCCCCTCTCACAGTCCGGGAGCCCTCAGGGGTGGGAGGCGACCCAGAGATTAGGGGAAGGCACCGAACGCCCTATCACACCTCTGCTGCTACCACTGCTGGCAGTTCAAGCCTCAGCCAGCCCTGGTTACCTGAGCCTTGGGCGGACCTGGGCGGCTGAGTAGCCACCATCCAAGGCTTGCCTGCACCTTGGGCCAGCCCTGGGTGGCTGGGCAGCCGCCATCCGAGGCTTGCCTGTGCCTTGGCCTGGCCCTGGGGCCTGAGGGGACTGGGGGTCTCCAGAGGCAGGCATGCGGAGTGGCTAGGCCCGCCTGGAGGCGGGCCCTGCCTTGCTGTGCACCTGCTGCCCCGGCAGGGCTGAGGGGACTGGGCACCGCCATCTTTGAGGGCGGGGCAGTCAATTAGCATATTTCCTCCTTATTGGCTGTGGGCGCCACCATCTTTGCAATGGTGTGAGGGTCAATTAGCATATTCCCTCTTTATTAGGATACTAGAAAATTTTAAAGAACATATAGGTCAGCAGTTCTCAACCTGTGATTCTCGACCCCTTTGGGGGTCGAATGACCCTTTCATAGGGGTCGCCTAAGACCATCAGAAAACATTTATATAATTACATATTGTTTTTGTGATGAATCACTATGCTTTAATTATGTTCAATTTGTAACAATGAAAATACA